ATAATAGAAGCGGGTGATTACAGAAACCATCCATTTTTATTTTGAAGGTAAATGTCAAGAGAGTTCTAAAGGTGCCTCACAAATTAAAGTTTCATGTGTCATAGTACTTCAGCTATACTATAAGTTAATTTCTTGCTGGTAACAATTCAATAAAAGTTTTACTCATATTTACATATAGTATTTTTTAACTAGGTTAGAGTTTTGCTATAATTATTATAAGCACCAATTTTGACCTGTCAGAAACTCAGTGAGAAGAATCAAGTGATTGGAATTCTTTCCGCTGACTATAATTACCCATTTGGATAAAAAAGAAACAAAGGACAAGTAAGCAAGTAGCAAACTGAAATGTATTATTTAATTTCAATTACTTATTACTTTTTTAGTTAAATCCAAGAATTGGGCATACCTCATTTCCCCTGTAATCATATTACCTATATTACTTCACTCTATATTTATTATTTTGATCAGAGAATTCATTAACATAGTAATGAGCCCGCCAATGAAATGTTCTGTGTTAACATCAAAAGAAGTTTACTATGATGACTTGCAGTAAATTTAGAATTTTTTTAAAAAGTTAATTTTTAAAATAATAAAATGGCATTTTAATTAATTAGGATACATAAGAGTCAGCCAGTCCTAGTGTTAGGGAAGAGAAAGTCAGCAGAGAAACAGCAGAGATAAGCTCTGAGGCAAAAGAGACCATATCTAGAATGGCCAGAGGGCCAAAATGCATAAAATGAGGCTGAAGAAAGAAAAGGGCAACTAGATAAGGGAGGTTTATAGGGCCTTGGCAGGAAGTCTGACCTTTAGTTTAAGAGTAATGGGCTCTTCTGAAGAGTTTTACCCAAGAGTGTTGCATGATTGAATTTAAGCTTTTTGAAAGGTCTCTCTAGCTGATGAAGGCAGGGGCTAGAATTGATATGGGCAGAGAAGTTAGGTGGCCTGCTGCACTGATTCTGAAGATGGTAGTGGCTTAAAGAAAATGGTGGCAGTGAATTCAGGGAGAAGCAAACACATTTTAGATAAAGGAGATATAAGTGTTTGAAAGAATGTTTATACTCAAAGCAACAAATATTTGGTAATTGAATGAATGACTTGTTTTAGAAAGACACTGACTTCCAAAGGGTTTTGCATGAGGCTTATTAAGAATAAAGGTTTTTTTTTTTTTATTCTTAATAAATTGAACAAGGGGGCCTGTCTTGTTCACTATTTTACAAAATTTTTTGAAAAATAAAGTAAACATGAACTTTTATGCTTTCCCCCATATGCTTAAAAAAAAAAGACTTTCCAGATAAATTTTTCTTATATCTTTAAAACACTCACATTTCCTGTACCATTTTGAATATATATTATACAGAACCTTATTCTTGTTTAAAAACAATGCCAGATTTTCAGTTTTACTTATCAATTATGCCCTGCTGATTTCTTTTCTTTCTTTTTTTTTGAGACAGAGTTTTGCTCTTGTTACCCAGGCTGGAGTGAGTGCAATGGCGCGATCTCGGCTCACCGCAACCTTCGCCTCCTGGGTTCAGGCAATTCTCCTGCCTTAGCCTCCTGAGTAGCTGGGATTACAGCATGTGCCACCATGCCCAGATCATTTTTTGTATTTTTAGTGGAGACGAGGTTTCACCATGTTGACCAGGATGGTCTCAATCTCTTGATCTCGTGATCCACCCACCTCGGCCTCCCAAAGTGCTGGGCCCTGCTGATTTCTTTACAACTACTTCTTAAATCGTTAATGTACTGTATTTTAAATAAAGCAAGTTTTTCTTCAGATTCTGGAAGGTATTAAGAAATATTTTCTGGAGACATCTTTCCTATTGTTTTCCTTCAATATGTGCCGTTATCCTGCCAAAGACTATCTTTCCCACCACACTGAGGAGACTAGGCAGAAATCCCTCAAGTCAATGGTCCACCCCAGTTGCACCAACATATTCACATCACACCTGTTCTTATTTATTCCATCCAGTCTCAGTAGAAAAGGATCCTTCCATGCGGCTTCTTTTAGCTTACTGGAAAAATGTCCTTCCTGAAATCCAGTGTAGTGGAATTCCTCTACCACTGTTCTGGATCACATTCTCTAAACAATCTCAGATCATCACTGCAACATTAATTTTCCTTTCCTGTATTCTTAATTTCTCTGTCACTGGTTCTTTTCCACCAACATATCTATACTTATAATTCTTTCATCTTAAAACCATCCTTGGCCGGGTGCATCCCAGCACTTTGGGAGGCTGAGGCGGAAGACTAGCTTGAGGCCAGGAGTTTGAGACCAGCCTGGGTAACACAGTGAAAGCCCATCTCTATAAAAAATAAAAAACAAATTAGCCAGGCATGACAGTGCATGCCTGTGGTCCCAGCTACTAGGGATGCTGAGGTGGGAGGATCACTTGAGCCCAGGAGATCTAGGCTGCAGTGGGCTTTGATGGTGTCACTGTACTTCATACTGGGCAACAGAGCAAGACTCTATCTCTTGGAAAAAAAATAAATCAATCAAAATAAAAACAAACACATTTTTAAAAATCCTCTATATCCCTTCTAACAACTATCCAGTTTCTCTCCCTCTTTAAAATTTTAAAGAGCATCATCAAAGGTTTATATTCTTCCGCCCATTTAATGGTCAGGTATATTTCATTATTACACCATTTTTAAAGAGAGGCAGACTCAGGAAGATTAAATACTTTCCAAAGAATATAACCTAGAAAGCAGTTTAGACATAATTGAAATCAAGATATTTTCATTTAAGACTTTGTTTGCTTTGTAATATAAAACTTGATGCTACCAATGCCAGTAAATATAATTATTGAATTTTTGTGTTTAGTTTTCTAAATGGTAATATCATAAAGATTCAACCCAATTACCTAAATACATATGAACATCATACAAACAAATTGATATTTAAAAATATGTGACAGTACTAAATACAAATCCTAAAGTTAAAGGTAAGCAAAAGTCTTTACCTTTGCTAAATTAGACAAAAAAGTGAAAAAAAAAAAAACACCTAAAAAGTATACTTGAAATATAGGACAAAGAATAATCCTTTCTGCTGTTTTTTAACCCAGTGTTACATAAATGTTAAAAGTCTTACTCCCTTATTTCTGATAGTATTTAAATACATAACATAAATAAAGTGTTACTTGTGTTTTATTTTATACTAAAAAGTGGGTGCAAAGATATAATTTATACTAAAGTGAGTAAAACTACAATATGATAAATATATTTTATGTGCCTATTTAATTTATCCAAATTCAATTTCATCAGGAACAAATAATCTAAGAAACCAATACCATATTTTAGAAGTACCGTTTAATGGTACATAATTCAACAATACAATGACTGTTACCTCAACTAAGTAATACTGAGAATTACAAAAGGCTATCCCTCATTGTAGATAATTTCTATTTTGTACCACTATATTTTAATTTTTCTAATTCCTTGGTTATCCTTTTTATTTAACGTAGACAAATAATTCCTTCAACAAAATTAACTACTTAATATCTATACACCTAGACTCGAAAGTCTTTAATATGTTACTTTATTCTGTAAACATTCATTGAGGGCCTATGATGGGCCAAGAACCATCAGGCACTGAACGTAGAAAGATGGAAAATGGGTGACATAAATGCTATCTGAAGTAGTTCAAGGAGAATGTCAGTAGCACAGAAAAGTCACAGGTTACCTCATGAAACTTCTGAAAATACATTCATTTAAATAAAAGCACTTAACAAATAGAACACTACCATAGGCAAATTACATAAAAATGAAATTTAACATATTGTATTTTAATAACTAATATGCATCTAAATATTACTATCTCTCTTTCTAAAATATCATACACTCCAAAGAAACAAGATATTATTTTTGGTATATCAAGGAGTGCAACTCTTTTTCTTTTCAAGAAATGTAAATTACCTACTTTGTTTTTGCCTATATAAACACCTACTATTGTTGAAAAAAAAATGTGAATATTTTCATATGGTTGCATGGCAGGACTTTCTGAGCATACAAAAGTGGAACTTGAGTGAAAAAACAAACTTTCAAAGTTGTAAGATGATTAAATAGAGAAAGACTTCTGGAGAGATTTAGCTTTAGCTCCCAGAAGGTTAAGTGTTAGTATTTCAAAGGGATGTAAAATTTAGAGACATATTTTTATATGACAAAATATCTGTTTACATTAGGAAGGTTTCTTTATCTCTCTCAGAAGGAGAGGGCAGCTGTGTAACAGCTCCTATATAAATGCTCAGATTCATAAATCTGGAGTTCCTCTTCTGTGATGTAAAATCCCCCTTTTGGTACTTGTGGGTCCAATCATCTGGCTCTCATCACATTGCTCTGGATGAGGAGATGGAGTGTGAGGAAGTAATGTGGTAATTGCTCTGAGAAAGAATAATCTGGCTGGGCATGGTGGCTCAGGCCTATAATCCCGGACCTTTGGGAGGCCAAGGCAGGCAGATCACCTGAGGTCGGGGGTTCGAGACCAGCTTGGCCAACATGGTGAAACCCTGTCTCTACTAAAAATGCAAAAAATAAGCCAGGTGTGATGGTAGGTGCATGTGGTCCTAGCTACTCTGGAGGCTGAGGCAGGAGAATCGCTAGTACCGGGAGGTGGAGTTTGCAGTGAACCAAGTTTGCACCATTGCATCCAGCCTGGGTAACAAGAGCAAAACTCTGTCGCAAAAAAATAAAATAAAATAAAAATAATAATCTGTCCTAAATAGAAACATTGTGTTTGTTTTTGGGACAAAATGAATATATATATTTAAAATTAACATGTTCTAAATAAGAATTTAGGAGAAAGAGTATCTTTGAAAACAGAAGTTTATTATATTTATGTTCAGGCAGATCAAGTCACTTTGATGGTCAATCAATAATCTTATTCAGCAAAGATAATATATGCCTATTTTTTATCATTTTGTCATAAGATTTTGACATAAAAGAAAGGATAGTTTGGAGTATAAATATAAGACAACCTATAGAAAACAAAAATAAAAATCACTTACTTGATATTATCAAGACAGCCTGATTCAGGTTTCAGTATAGCAGTATGATGAAACATTTTATATAAAGCAATCCCAAGGAAGATTACATTAAGCTGGAATGCAAAAGGTAGTGTTATGTAGCATAACTGGAGTAGAAAAAAAACAAAAACAAAATCTATTCTCTCTAACAGATGAGATGTTCTGGGAAATTAGGTCTCACTACACTCTTAAAGGAATTGGATCAGAGATGACTGCCTAGCGTTTTAGTAAAGGCAAGAAGCCAGTTTTGGGAATTGGGATACCACTGAGTTACAAAGCACTGCTATGCCAAATCACACAAATACAAAGTCAGCATCAGCTGGAATGATGCTGTGGAAATTTTGAAACAATTCAAAGCCTAGTTTATGTCAAAACAAAAACAATACGTTTTTAAGATGTGTTACTATTTCTACACTCTGAATGTTTGTCTGAATTTATTGTTTAGTGATACTTTTTCAAATACTATATTAAAAAATACAAATACTAAAATCAATATATTTTTGTGTAGCTGGCTCAAAAGGATTATAAAATGTTGGCTAAATTCTGATGCTATAATAAACTAGGACTAAAGTAAGACAAATCCCCAATGTTATTGTCATATCACTGGAAACAGAGAAAGTATAAAATTTAAAACAACAGAAATAAAGTTCTCATGTAAACTTCATATATGACTCAAAACTAAACTGTATTTAACAAACCATGTAGTGAATTGCGCTTTACCACTTGATCAATTTATACATTCCACAACTTGGCAATAAAAGCCCTCCTGAAATTATTTCAAAAATACATGTTAGCAATACTATATCAATCATCCCCAAATCCAAAAGTCTACAAAGTGAGAGTTATTTAAAAAAAAAAAAAAATCCATTGGGTGGCCCCTAACATGAACGAAATCTAAATGGTGGGAAAACCTAATTTGAATTGACATAAGGCTGTCCATGGTCTTTCTACTACTTGCTCTTACCTTTCCTTTTTCCTTTTTTTTTTTTTCTGGTGAAATATTGTCTTCAATTACAGAGTGCTCCCTAGTCACTGTGAGTATTGGTTGATATGTTTTGATTTTGGGTAACTGCCTATTCCTCACTAGGGATATTGTGTATTATGCAGTATATGTACCATATTATCTTTACAAAGTCTGAAAAATTTCTGATTCCAAAATACATCTTGTACCAAAGATTTCAGATAAGAAACTGTAGACCTATATTTATCCAAAGTCAAGAGGCTAACATTTTATTCACAAGAAGGAGAGAAATTTTTTTTTAAAATAACTATATAAACAATTATACTAACAGTTTAATCTAAATTAAGTTAAATAATTCATTTTTGAAACCAAAATATTAAGGATCTAAAAACAGAAAAGGAAATATGATTCCAGAATACATGTCTAATGAGATCGTGTCATTCTCAAGTAAAATTTTTTAAAGTTTCGCTTTTAAATTTTAAAGTTTTCAAGATTCATATAAAAAAAAAAAGCTGATAGGAACAGTCGGGTGTTTTCCCATCTTTCTAATTTGTCAGTTTCCAATTCAAATTATTCAATAGAAAAATTATGGAAATACAGTACTTAGACTCACTACTGCTCAAATATCTATAGAACCAAATGGATTATGTTGGATGGGGCCCTTGAGTAGCTATTATATTGCATAAGTTTTTGAAAATGCATATTTTCTTATTCCAACAGTTTTGATTAACTATTTTACAACATAAAATAGACTATAATGAATGTTTAATTGCTTGAATTATGTAGGGTCAAATAAGTACATGCTTTCCCCAAATTAACCTCTGTAAATTAAAGATAGTCAGTACTGAGATAGTGAAAGTTTTATTTCTTGACCTGGGAAACACAGAGTTAATTAGGAATTCTTACCATAATTATCAAGGTTGCTGGTCCTATAAAACTCCAAATGAAGTAGGTGTCAAGTCGGAGCCAACATCTGCAATGAAACACAAGGGAGAGAAGGCATTCAAGGACTGGGTATGGGACATACATCAAGAGTGAGCGAGTGACAGAGAAGAATGTGAGCTGCAAAGCATTCCACTGGGAGACAGGAAATATTACATTTCTTGTTCATTTAAATGCTGAATTATGTGCCCAATTTCTGACAGCACTATTGATGGAGTAAGATAATTACCCCTGGAGGAAGCAGGAAAAAATGGCACTGGGCCTATTTGCTAAGGCCTTTTGTGTCTGTCATAGAAACTTAAAAAAAAGAGAGAAAGAAAGAAAGAAAGAAAAAGCTATACACATAGCCATTAAATCGAGTAGCTTTAAGCTATCCTTTTCTCTCCAATTATGGTGCTACATAACCTGTCTATCAGCTGTCGGGCAAAGTGACATTTTCCTGTCAAGAAGATCTGAGGAAATGCAGTACAAAGAAGAAATAAATTTGGTATCAGAAGATTGAAGTTTAATTAGGTTGGGCAGCCAACCTTTGAGATTTCTGGAGTCTTAAAAAGTGCATTGTTACTGCTCATATTTCTGGGGTTGCAAATGATCCTTAGCATCCCATGAAGCTGATTCATGACCCAAAAGTAAATTATTAATCACTTAATTTCAGCTACATTTAATACTCCCCCAATTCTTAAAACCTCTGGGAAATTCCACTTTCATTCTTCAGGATGACAGGAAGACAAAATGGAAGTGACTAGTTATAAGAAAGATTAATGTAAATTTTGAACAAATTATATTTGATGTTAAAAATAATATATTGAATTATTTGCCATTTTTCCAGATATGAGGCACAATCAAGAAGAAAATATCTCCAGTGGTAAATATTCAAGACTGGTTTGCTATATAATAAAAATGTGCAAATCCTAACAACTCAAATATTTCTGTGATTATAAAACTTAGTAATAATGGAATAACAGAAAAACTATTAAGAAGGGAAATTATAAATGCCTATCAAAAAATGAATGAATAAATACAATATTTTCTATTCCTTAGATGAAATGTTACAAAATAGTTAAAAAGGAGGAAGTAGATCTACATATGTCAATAAGATAAATAAAAAAAACAAAGTTGGATGGTGGGCGTGGTGTTTCATATCTGTAATTCCAGCATTTTGGGAGGCCATGGCAGGCAGTTCACTGGAGCCCAGGAGTCTGAGACCAGCCTAGGCAACATGGTGAAACCCTGTCTCTGCAAAAAATAGCTGGGCATGGTAGTGTGTCCCTGTAGTCCCACCTCTCAGAAGGCTGAGGTGGAAGGATCACCTGAACCCGGGTAGTTGAGGCTGCAGTGAGCTAAAATCACACCCAGGCTGGAATGTAGGTGTCTCACACTGCATTCCAGCCTGGGTGACAGAGTTAGACCATGTCTCAAAAAAAAAAAAAATGGAGTAAAAAAGTAAGGTAAAGAATCTAAACTATATCAAATGTATATATAATAGCTTATATATACATATATATGTTAAACATACACACCACAGACATTAAAAACTACACACAATGTATTTTTGATGGAGATATTACATATATATATAATATCTCCATCAAAACATATATATATAAAACATATATATATAAAACACATATAAAACATATACATACATATATATTATATATAACATATAATTATATATATATATATATATATATATGTATATGTTATTTAATGAAAAGAAAAAAAAAACACCAAACTCATGTTAGTGGTTTTCTCCCACATAAGAGTAGAGAGCACCTAGAAGTGGACCCAGTGGGCTTTAGCCATATGTTTTAGGTTAGTAATTACTGACAGCAAATACACTAAAATACTAACAGTTTTAGCATCTGAGTGGTGGAGTCAATGATGTTAATTATGGTTTTTGGCTTCCTTTACTTTGCTATAACTTAAAACTTATTTTAAGAGCTAGATTTTAAGCAAAAAAAGAAAAAAAAAGCCTTGAACCAAAACAAATTGCCAAAAAAAAAAGCTTATTTTAAAACAATGAATGAAGAGGGTGAGCACAGCGGCTCACCCCTGTTATCCCAACACTTTGGGAGTCCAAGGCAGGAGGATCACTTGAGTCCAGTTGAGACCAGTCTGGGAAATAAAGTCAGACCTCATCTCTACAAAAAAATAATAATAATTTAGCCGGGGATGGTGATGCATGCCTATGGTCCCAGCTACTCGGGAGGCTAAAGTGGAAGGATGGTTTGAGTCCAGGAGGCCTAGGCTGTGGTGAATCATGAACCAGGCACCGTACTCCAGCCTGAGCAACAGAGCAAGACTCTGTCTCAAACAAAACCAAAACCAAAACCAAAAACGAAGTCTGGCCTTCTTCTATTAAGTTAACCACATGTAAACTCATTTCAGTAGAAGTACAATAGGCACTCTAACAAGAAACTAACTGCAAGTTCCTATTTTTTATGTAGACAAGGTAACTTCTATATTCAAAGTAAACACAATAATCCTGTTTGAAAAAATGCTATTAGTGAAGCAATCAATGCTTAGTTAAAAACTATTGGTTTGTCTGGATAATTAGTTACCCTTTTATTGTGGTGGTGGTGGTCAAAAAACTTGATCATAGGAAATAGAAGTGTGGTGCCAAATATGAGCAGAAACAAACCAGAGAATTCAAGGTTGAAATATGAACATAGTCTTCATTCTGACCATAGGGTATCTTGTTACTACCCTAATAAAAGAGAGAGTGTGCATACGTGTGCATGAGAGACAGTGAAAGAGAGAAAGAGAGAAAAGAAACTCTTGGGAAAGGAAGATTTTCATGGGTCTTTCTGGGTTCCAAACAAAGATTGTATTTTCCCTCAGGGTAAAAACAAAGAAGGAGCCTGGGTACATGGCTCATGCCTGTAATCCCAGCACTTTGGGAGGCCGAGGCAGGCAGATCACTTGAGGTCAGGAGTTCAAGACCGGTCTCCATGTCCAACTTGGTGAAACCCCATCTCTACTAAAAATATAAAAATTAGTTGGGCATGATGGTGTGTGTCTGCAATCCTAGCTACTGGGAGGTTGCAGTGAGCCGAGATAGTACCATCACACTCCAGATCAGGCGAGGGAATGAGACTTTGTCTCAAAACAAAACAAAAAAAAAAACAGTGAAGAACAAAACCAAAACTGGACATTTTCCCAGTTTAGATGAGACAAATACACACACACACACACACACACACACACACACACACACAATTGTAGCTCATGAATGCTGCTGAAATTACAGCAACATGATATAATAATAATAATACATTTAAGAAGGACTGCTAATAATGCAGTTCTTGTTATTTTGTAGGTCAAATAAGTTTTTGAAAGCTAATCTGAGAACTAAAACACATTTTCAGAAAAATTTTTAATAGGAAAATGTGCTCCACAATCTTCTATAGAAGATTATTTTACAAGTTAAGAAATCTTAAATAAATACCTTTAATTATATTATTAATGGTTGTCTTGGACCAAGAGAATTTAAAAATTTTAAATAATCTCACCAAATGCTTTGTTAAAATAAAAAAGTATCATTAAATTATAGCCTTGCAAACTTTGCTTTTTTGAAAATGGTCTCAGCTTAGCTAATGCTTTATTTGGAAATGTGCTTTTGGCGTAACAGTCTTTTCTAAATGTAAAAGGGCAACTCAAAATGATTATTTTTATTCATTAAGAAAAATTTTATATCTATTTGGTAGACTAGATTTACATTTCCTTTGGAATTGAACAGTGAAAGAGGCAATATAAAATACATAAAGTATACTTAGTAAATCATCCCTCCATGAGGGCCGCTGGGCCTGTACTCTCTTCTGGAAGGCTGTGTGGCAAGTATCCCTTTTCTAATTTGATTGCCATATGGCCACACCTGCTGTTGTTTCTGGCCACATGCTGGCTTTCTCAAAGCCTTCTGTGTTTCCTCCTCCTCCAATTAACTACCTTAACAATTTGCATGACTCCTGTCCCAGTTCCCCGTGCCTATGTTAAAAAATTTCACTCAGGCTTTAAGGTGGAGAAGAATATTACGTGGGATCTATATATACATGCCTGGGCACGGATATCCTACCTCAGAGTTTTTCTTTTTTAAGTCTGGCCATTCAACGACATTTAGATACAATGTAAAAACCCTGGTTGAGATGAGACAAAGCTAGAAGAACGATTTATCATGCTAAACACACTGAAGTCCAGCTTGTGAATGGTAAGAGAGACCCACTATTGAAGAATGCAATTTATCTGAAAATTGCCTTTATCTGCCAAGCAACATTTAATTTGTGAAATTAGTAATTTGGATTGGCCATTCACATTTAATTTTTAAGAAATGACCATTTTTTAAATAAATTAAATTGAATCATATATATATATATATATATAATCTATACATTATGTTTATAAAAGTGATGTAACAAAAGACAGAACAGACTTGAGAAAGCAAGCCCATTCTGACCACACTCACGTTTATTTCACTCATGCTTATTTGAGGCAATAGTAAAAACCTTTTATATTAGCTATGTTTTATAATTCAAAGAAACGCTTGTCATTTCCACAAAACTTGACCTCTTGTTCATTTATCTAATACAAATATGTTACTAAAATTCATTTTGTAGTGTAGTTTTTTTCAAATAGTAAAAGTAACATATATTGCTAGATATATGATGAGGTCTTACTCATCATAGATTACACAAATTTATTGATCTCCGAACTCTAAAGAACTGGTGTTAACCGACAAGAGTAAATTGTCATTCTCCTTGTGAATTGTTCTATTTAAAAATATTAACCAAAGTTTTTTAGAGTAATGTAGATTAGCAATATGTTTGTTTCACTTTCCACAGGATGCTTAAATCAGAGACTAAATTATTCTTGATGAATACTAAATGTAACCAGTAAACAATCTTTGGCTACTATTAGATCATGAAATTCACAAGGCTTAATCATATCAAGTTGTTTATAAGAATTTTTTAATTATGCAATATCCTTTTCTCTGTAACATTTGCCTATATATGGGTGCGTGTGTATATATGCATA